CATACATATTAGTATGCTCCTGAAGAAGACCGAGACGGTCGAAACGTCGAGCTATTAAACCAACAAAGCTACATTGGAGTTGGCCTCTTGACCATTACATTTCTGCTCTTATTTACGTTATTTCAAGAGCCCACGATCGCTTCAGTGATCCTCCAGGCAGCGCGTTTGAGACTGATCAGCATTGTTTGTGGGACCCCTTACAAGCTTCTACTTATATATATATATATATATATATATATATATATATATATATATATATATAAGTAGAAGCTTGTAAGGGGTCCCACAAACAATGCTGATCAGTCTCAAACGCGCTGCCTGGAGGATCACTGAAGCGATCGTGGGCTCTTGAAATAACGTAAATAAGAGCAGAAATGTAATGGTCAAGAGGCCAACTCCAATGTAGCTTTGTTGGTTTAATAGCTCGACGTTTCGACCGTCTCGGTCTTCCTCAGGAGCATACTCCATATTGTATTATTATATACAATAGTTTAGTTGGTAATGTAACCTGACCTACATAAAGAGTATGCTCCTGAGGAAGACTGAGACGGTCGAAACGTCGAGCTATTAAACCAACAAAGCTGCATTGGAGTTGGCCTCTTGACCATTACATTTCTGCTCTTATTTACGTTATTTCAAGAGCCCACGATCGCTTCAGTGATCCTCTAGGCAGCGCGTTTGAGACTGATCAGCATTGTTTGTGGGACCCCTTACAAGCTTTTACTTATACATATATAGATATATATCCACCCTACCCCTCTCTCTCTAATACGATGCTTAACAGTATTATATACAATAGTTTAGTTGGTAATGTAACCTGACGTCCATAACGAGTTTTTAGAGCATTAGCCCGGTTTGTCATTCACTCTGAAAAAGTTCTAATGCTTGAAACAGCAGATTTATAAACTCTTTACAATGGACAATTTACATCAAGTCAGTTGATAAAACCAAAATATCCTACAATACCCCTTACCAAGGTAGCACCACAGTCTTTTTAGGAACTTACCCCATTCATTTATTTAAGTTCTGTATTATTTGAAGTTAGATCCCAACTGGTGTATACTTTGATCATTATGGACTTTTTTTTGCTTAGGGAAACCCACTGGCTATGATCGTGTGCGTAATGCAGAGATTGGAAACAAAGTATGTTAGTCTATAGCTTCAGTTTTAAAATTATGCATAATAATTTCCCAGCCATGATTGTCGTAGGAGTGAAGACCATGTCTGACTTATATGATATGCTATCAATCATGTAAACATATCTTAAAAATGTAGCACAGGACTGTAATCAAGCACAGCACCCACTGTATAACTGTCAGGTATTACCATAAAACTCCACTGCTTTTAATAATCTTTTCTGTTGTTGTTGCTTTTTTGCCTGTAGGAATTTGAGCTGGATGTGCTAGAGGAAGCTTACACCACTGAACACTGGCTTGTTAGAATCTACAAAGTAAAAGATCTTGAGAATAGAGGTTCTTAGAATTCACAAGCTCGCATTTTTTTAAATCCAAGTATTGCATTAGGTACTAATGCCCATCTATGTCAAGGTTGTTAGTTGTTAGACAATTTTGAGCAACAAGTGAATAAAAATCAATTCAAAGTTTATTCAGTTGTTGGTTAATGGTTTTGTTTACATGATGTTACTCGTTCTTGACTTGCATTTGCTTCTTTTCTGGAAGTCACTCTCATCAGTCATTGACTGCAAAGGATTCCCAAAGCAGCAGTAGACTTGCTCTTTGCTACTATTCAAAGCTACCTCATGCTTTCAGTGTGTTAAAATGGTTTTATATTATCAGGGTGTTTGTCAGTGACATAAGAATGGAAGCATACCAATGAACTCCTTTTAAGGAATCTTTCCTTTCCAACTCAGTTAACCCAACTAATGAGCTGGTCAGTTGTTTCCAGGCTCCCATCAGCAAATCAGCTGCTCTGATAGGTGCCATAACTAAATGTGCAGCATTGTGGGAAGGCCAGTGTGCATAACAAGATACCAGTATGCCATCAACAAATAAAGTTCCTTGACTTGTTAAGGGGGCATACACACCTGTCATTTTCATCTGGGTAATTCGTGTAACTGTGTCATAGATTGGGCTGCTCCCATTAAGTATAAGAAAATCTCCAATGTTAATTTCTGAGGCGAAAACAGCATATGATAATGATGTATTTGTTTTCTTTCTGAAAATCAGATGATGTGCAGACAACCTAATACTGTTTCCTGACTTGGTCTCAAGGTTGTAAAATTGTGCCTTGGCATCAATTTCCTTGTGCAGAAAAGCAATCACTTTGCTGAATATGTTCTCCCCGTGAGTTCCCAGTGTCTGTATTTTGTCCCCAACCTTCAAATTACTCAAAGGGATGCTCTCACCAGACTCCAGCGTCACTTGAGAAATGGCAGGAAAACACAGTTTGCGGGGTTGTGCACAGATTGGACAAGGAGACAATTCTGAAAGGGGCAAATTATTAACAGTTACTGGATCATACTGATGAAACCAGAAGTGATCAGAAAATAAATTTCACACAAACCATAATCCCCAAATCTGTAAACAAAGTTGGCTCCAGATTTGCCGACTCCATCTTTACAGTCCACCGATGTACCGTCTCGTCCATAGGTTTTCTCGCTCCCAGGGCCGCTCCAACATTCAGTGTAGTACTGGATCCCAAAGACTTTGAAGCCCCTCTCTCGGGCTTTCTCAGCACATGCCATCACAGTATTGTTAACATCTTTGCGATCGATAGTGCCTCGTAAGTTTGCAATAAGTTTCGGAAGAGGTCGAGGTTTTACGTACGAGTCTCGGTAGCAGCCTAAAGGGGCTATTGTCCACGAGTTTGCTACAAATTAAGAACTCTAATGTAAATCAAATGTTGAAAGGATTGAAACGAAAAAAGACGCAAACGCCCGTCGCAAATAAACTTACAGCGATTATATGCGGTGGGGGCAGTTGTGGTTAGATTTTCTTGAAGTTGGGGAGAGGTACCCTCGGTAACTGAAGCAACACTGGCAGCAGCCTCGGTTCCATGCGGCCATGGAAGCGGAGTGACGATAAGGCCTTGTGGTGGTGCCGATGTTCTGATGTTGTGAGCAGCTGAAATAGACCACGATTCAAAACATAAGTGGAGGACAAATTGAATGAATGTAGCTGGCAGGGCAGTGGTTTGCATAACAAACGCAGCCCCGGTAATAAACTGATTAGATTATTAATTAAATATATCGTCTTTAGTGGGCAAGGGGTTAGTAGATTACGGCGATGCTAAATCTAAATGTCTAATCTGCAAAGGGAAATACAGCCCATCATCCTATCCCATCCCACGGAAGGACATCCACCACACAGTAATCTCGTGCGTGAGAAATTAACGTCTCCGACCCCTAATCCTGAAGGAGACGGGACCTACGGTTTATTCGTCCTTATCCGAGAAGACTAGAATATCTATCCATTTCTTGATATTATAGAAAGGTAACACATTCTCCTCGGTTATTTTAAGACCCTGAGTATTGGTCCGGCCGGGGCTTGAACCCTCGACCTCCCGCCAAGCAAAGTGTCTCTGATCAGGGCGAGCTTCAGTTAAGTCGAAAGTGAATCAGAACTGCACTGGTTTTCCCTTCCTCTCCTCTCCGATCGTTCTAGAAGCCTAGCGTCCCTTTCTAGACTCATCAAATGTAATTCCAAAACCAATCGCGACTTAGTCACTTGGGTTTTCCCGCGCATCAGGCACTTTGCTTGTTTTGCTCCGCTTGTTATCTCTAGATTAGCCAGATATTACTTCGATTTGCCACACTCAATCGAAAAGAGTACTATATAGTCTCTATAGCTTATAACAAATATGGGATACTTCAAACTTATACTCACTCACCTGTGTTCCATAGCACCACATGGATGAGGTACAAAAAATTTAAACGATTGTAATTATGCATTTGATTTCCGCTAATCCAAGTTTGATAAAGGCGTAGAAACGACCTCCGACTGAATTAAAACGGGCAAATCAAATATCAGTTCCATGAAGACACAAGTAATAAATTACCCTCTAAAAGCTCTAGATACAAACTTGAAAATGCGAATCACAATTTCTCTCGCGCTAATATAATTTAGCCATTTTCCCCAAGTCCTTTGTTGAAGATGAAAAACAAACAGATTAACGACTCGGTGATTTAGTCAGTTTTGGGACACTGACAGCTCTGCATTTAGAGTATCCAGAAACCGCATCTTATTATTATAACACTGATCTACTCCTTTTCAAATGTTTAAACGTACCCCTAAGCAAATCTTCTGTTTGGCCTAAAGACACTTACCTCAAGTGTTATCTCCAATGAATATCGGCCGCTCTCCTGTCAATGGAAGCTGCAACTCCTCTCTCAGCATGTGGCAGATTATCTGTTTGTTCACGCCTCTTGCGCGCATTCACTATTCGACTGACGGCTTCGTAAAGGACTATCATATCAAAATATTAACAACACATTATGATCAATTTTATCCAACGCTGATCTCACACAAATTTTCTGCGATCTCATTCTAACCTACAGGGTTTTATTTCCTAATATTGAATGTCTACACAGTCTTAAGTGAAGCCAATTGTTCTTAAATTATTTATGTGCATACTTGTTAGGAGCTTTTGGAGGATGTCAAAAGAGACAATTTTAAAAAATAAAAGTTGTGTGTTTTAAAGACAATCTTCTAAAAAGTGCCACGCAATAGGAATTAACAACGAAATCCCTTCTGCTGAAAGAGGTTTAATGAAAAAACACTGCCTAATATATCGTTGATACCATTATGTTGTGCCCTTAACGCAATCAGTGTAGGAAGGAACGGAGACGAAGAAAACTCGCGTTTAATGCTTGAGAGGGYGGGGGCAGAAGAGGAAGCTGTACTCTAAATTTGAACTCTTCAAAACGTTTTGCATGAAATGATGCATTCTTCCCTGACCAAAAGGAGAGGGTGTCAATACTCGTTTAAAACATTTTCTTTTTAAAAAATAACTTAATTGATTCCAAACACTTCTGTGTTATTCAACTCCATGAAAAAAACAAAATGCGGGATGATACTGAGATCCAAAAGCGGGAGTAGGAGGAAACTGTAGGAGAGTTCAAGTTACAATCAAGACAAACAGTAACACCCATCAGTCCATTGACTGCATTTACCTCACAAGGCTATTAGTGCTAACAGCTTTAATTCATTCCACAATGCATTACTTTACAAGGTGGCTCCATTTTTTTAAACTAACATTTATTCAAACATTTATTTCACAAACAGTCTACTCAGACAATACAACAGCTATTTTTAGCTGCCTTAATTCAACCTCCTATACCAATTAAAGTGTATGTATGTATGTTCCAGGTACTTACCATTTACAAGTCCAACCTGTTTACCAATTCATGTGTAAACATTTTACAGCTGAACTTGAGTTTAATGAACAAGGAAAGGTTTTGAGCTTGCTTGCATCTACTGAGAAAACTAAGCAAGGATGCAAAGCCCATCACCTGCTGCCAAAAATTAATCTCAAGCTCTTCTGTGTAAGCAACCAAGGTGACTATCAAACTAACCTTAAACCATATTTACGTTTGAGTGAACTACCTCCCACATCACTGTAAACATGAAAGGTTCAAGGTAGTGAAGATCCAGTGTTGAGTCCTAATCTTATCGAAAGCTACCAGAAATAAACTGAATATACCAAAACTGACAGCTTTACAGATCTCTTTTAGCTGTCCACGTCTTAGAGATGAAGGGAACTTTGAGTTCATAATTCCTGTTGTTTTCCCAAAGAAGTTCAATTCATCTTCAAACATTACACACACAGCTGAACAGCTTAGTACTGTACAATCTGCTATTTCTAGTATCAATTGTAAATTGAAAACAGAAAACAAAAAGCAGTGCCAAACATAAATAAAAAGGTATTGTTAAGTAACTGTTTTTTTTTTAGTTCACAGATAAGCAAGCAAGTCAATGTACTGTAGCTTAATGGAGTTTACTTATCGTGCACTTGAATGACTCCCTTAACAGTAATTACAAACCCAAACAATGAGAAAGGAATTCATTGTCCAAGTTACTTCTCAAGTATCAATAGTGTCAATTTTCTTAATGAAAACCCAAATTTAACTGTAAATTTACAAAGCTGCAGTGGGTGTCTGCTCCAAAGCACAGGTTGGTTAATGTCCAAAGTCCCTGTCTGGGAGCAAGACTGGGGCAAGCAAAGTCCAGAGGTAGAGAGCAAGACATGCCCAGCTGGAGCTGATTTTTACCCACACAGTGGCCCAGTTACTGGTCAGGGTGGTGAAGTCCGAACCCGCTGGGCTGAGAAAAGATATACAGAATGATTTAAATCAATGAAGCCATGGGGAAGCTTCTGCCTTACTTACTGGTCAGGGTAGTAAAGACAGAACCCTTTTCATTGACAAAACAAACAAACAAACAAAAACAAACAGACAAACAAACAAAAAACAAAACAAAACAAAAAAAAAACATTAATTAACAGAAAAAAACTTTGTAAGGAAACTGTTTGAAATAGTCATTTCAGTGACGTTTGAGCCTGCTAGACTGAAAAGAAAGAGTAAATTTCTAATATACCCATCAATGTACTTGGGCTTTTTTTTTTTTTTTTCAGTAAAACACCATTAATGGAGAAATGACAGATTAGTTATCTTTGTTTTTGGCTGCAGCAGTGAAGTCAGAATGGTCAAGAGGAAAAATGAGAAGCTAACCATCAGTGCAACTGATCAAGGAAGTGACCTCAGTTATTGAATAAACAAGAGAAGGAGAGCAAACAGCCAACAGATTTGTAACGTATCTACAAACTACACGGTGTACATACCTGTACCAGTTAGTAAGGGTCATCATAATGTACAGTGAGGCCAAGGTGAAGGTCAGGTGAAAGAAACTGTAGTTATAATTCACAGCTGTGCTCTCATCATCATAGACGCGTTGGATTTTCACCTTGTTTTCTTCATTAGTGGCATTTCCAGTCTCGACATCTGATGAGGAAATAAGAGGGAATGAGATAAAGGAAAAGTACCTGGAAGCTGAATAGAATCTGAGGGACTTGGGAAAAAGGTGAAAACAGAGCTGCTTATGTCTTTCACCTGCTTTGTGAGAACTTAAAGGGTCTGAGCTGTCTGATAATCTGATGTGAAGGCATGTCAGCCTTAGTGGTTATATGAGCTAAAGCTACACTCAGTTACAAAGGATAAATTCTGAAATGAACCCTATATCTTTCTGTAAGCTTAGAATTTGTCCAGCCTTGTTCGGATCAAAACAATGCTGTTGTTACAAAACAATACTATGCTTCAATTTTTTATTTTCACACAGCAAACAAAAAGAAAAATATGATGCAGCACCAACCTTGGTTGTAATCTGGAAGGAGTGTCTCCTAAAAATATTGAGAGATAAATTTAAAAGTAATTTAAATATCATCCAGATCTGATAACAGCAATTAAATTAGACTACCATGAAAAAAAAAAAAAGTTGAAAAGAACAACTGCATGGGTGGAAAACAAAAAAAGAAAAAAGTAAACCACGAACCTCCATGCTGCTACTAGCTGTGAGACGGTTTGAAGTGGTTGTTTTCAAGCTAAAAAAAAAAATCATAAAAACAAAGTGTAAAATAAATTGTCTTTTAAAGTAATAGAAGTGAACTCCATCACTCAATCCAAGTAAAGGAGACTAGGAAAAACACTTATATGTTTCTTTGTCACATATCTATCTGTAGGCTATACCAAAAATTATTCGAGGGAACAAAACTAGTTGATTTATAGTAAAACAATTAAAATATTCCCTCTAGTCTTCTGTGAGAGATTGTTAAATCAGGCCTTGCCTTCATCAACTATCAAACAATAGAAATTTGGAGTTCTCAATCTACTTGCTAATCATAACTCACAGTAAACTTCTGTACATACCAAGAATACACAACCATAACAAACATGAGCACAGCTGCAACAACTGTCCTCCCATTGCCTAACCCAGGGGCCAGGTTATCACTAGAGATTAGTGAACCACTTGGGTTACACATGCGGTCTGGGGAAAACAACACAACACAACTGTAACAACATAAAATTACAAAAGCAGGCTTGAACCAGTGGCACTCTCCATTATATGATGTGGTAATTGTGTAAACTAGAAAACCAAACTGACAGGTAAGATAATAAGTAACTTGACATCATCAAAGAAAAATTTAATTAAGTCTAGCACACTATGTTTGGCATCATATGTATTGTAAGTTCAAGACAAGATCAGTCAAAATTTAATCAAAGGACCTGTGAAGGCAAAATTGAATAGTAAGAATGTTTAGTAGTTATCAAGTAGTACCTTACCAGGTTCATTGGACATACCAGACCAAGTCAGATACATTGTGTACAATGTAATAACTGCTGCCTGTAGCAGGCCAGAACTGGGTTGACCTGATATTCAACCAAAAATTAAAAATCAAATTAATGATAAGACCTGTTATTGTCCAACTTGACATTGATAGAACAAATTCTGCTCACAAACACATGTCTTGGTACACTACCACAATATTTAAAAAGGAGGCAAAAGAGCATATGTTTAGATATGATACCCACTAGTTACTAGTATTAAATATAATTCAACTGAAACCACAGTGTTTAAAAGCCTCAGGGATAATTACTCTTGCTTGTGGTTTTGTCTTCATCTTAAATCTCATAAGGATGCTAACTAGTGACTGGGGTGATATTTAATAATAATAATAATAATAATAATAATAATAATAATTAAGCATTTATATAGCGCTAAGCTCAACTAGTTCTCCGTAGCGCTTTACAAAATTATAGACTAATTAACATAGCGATTAATTTATAGAAAATCGTAAATTAAAAAGCGTCTTTGAACAAGTATGTTTTAAGGTTCCTCTTGAAAATTTAACATAATCTGTTCGGCTGAGAGAGGTTCTTCACTTACATTCCTGAACTTTGGGATGAATAGCAACCATGGAGACCATAAAACATAGCACAAGGTTTAAGCTGATGAAAAACTTGTTGTTCTTGCACCCAGAAGGCTAGAAACAGAAATACATGTAAATGATACAGGCTAACTTCACTATTTCATGATAATCAAAATTAAAACTGGTCCCTCAAAACTCTTTTAATTCCAAGAAAAAGATTTGTGACACAAAAACTTGAATCTTTCATATTCTTAGCACATTTCAATTAAAGCAGGATTCACTGTGTAGCAGTATGTTGATGGATTTTCACACGACACCCTTGTTCAGGAAGGGAATACAAAAAGATTCCACATACCTCTGTATAAAACAAGAAAAAACACACAACTGCTCCAATTGACAGAATGTATATCCCACTGGTGACAATGACAAGGGCTACAAACAAAATGAGAAAATTCATATCAATAACCTGCAACAAAATTAATAAGAATTGTTTTATTTTGATCAGATTTCTCCCTTTACCTATACTTACCCCAATACCACCTTTTATTGCCCGTTGTCTCATACTTCTCAACCCTAAATATCAACAAAATGGCTTGTTATGGTTTTGATGTTTTTACTTTTTTGGGGGCTAAGAAACTTGGATGGCAGATGTTATAATAGGCAAATAATATCACAGACTTCTTTATAATCTTAAGTGTTAGGCCATCCCAATGAAATAAGCCTGGAAAAAAAACATGAGAAGTGAACTCCTTTGTGTCCCACAAGGACGTAGGCATGTATTGACACTTGTGTATCCTGATGCTGGTGCAACAGTCCTGCCCTCCAATTAGCTTATTGCTGCAACTCAAGTAAAATTTCATGAAATTCTTGCTATTAAAAGCATCATTCATCGATTGCTTGGCTCACCAAGTTGTGACAGAAACAAACAACCAAACAGAACTAGCCCTGTAACTTAAATTTTCAGTAAGTAGAACAAAAATTTGACTTTCTCACTTGTACACAATTGTCCTTTCATTAAGCAAGTGGAGTTACAAAAATGTTCTGGTTTGATGTAGTTTGATACAATTAAATCTTAACTTAAATTTGTTAATCTGGGCAGGAATGTTTGTGTATTAATAGTTGAGTTGAGGAAAGTGTTAGTATTGCTGTTCATTGTACATCAGTCAATCATTATTACTTACCATGATTCACTCCAGTTGTAGGCAAAATCGATCAATAAAATCAACTGAAGCAAAATAAACAAGTAACCACCACCCATTCCAATGTACATCCATGCTAAAGACAAAGTTTACAAAGTCACTGAGTAAATAGTCATCCACAAATGTTTTTGAAAAATTTGACAAACCGGTCAGGGAAAGAGCCAACCACAGCCTGATATAAACAAAGGTATGTTTACAATGAATATGATTGATATGCACAATAAAATATAAACAGTTGAGTCGTATAATAATTAAAATTGAAATCTGCACATCTGAAGTAGTCAAGAGATTGAGAGTTTACAAAATTTCAGTTGAAACCATACTTGTCTGATGCCTGGCGTTACAAAGCATAATTAATATGTACTCATTAACTGAATAGGAGGGCTGGACAGGAAAATACTTGGCTCAAGGTAAAGTTCAGTTATGCTGATCGCTAAGCTGAAATACTTCGAGTCTGATAAGAAAGAGTGTACCTAATACCACAGATAACTGACCACATTCACAGATATTTGCAGAAAAGCAATTTGTACAATTATGCCTCCAGTATATTAAATGTGGCTGAAAATTGATATGTGCAGAATGTTGTAGGGATTTGCTCCAGAAGAAACTTTAATGCCAGGTTCTCATAAAGTATTTCTTAATTACAACTGTTCATGCTGCAGCCCTATCTACTGTACTGTGTATCAATGGCGATTTTGAGTGAAATCCACGGATAAAAGTCACAAGGGTTGTGTTTGTGTTATTGATCAGACTGTGTATAAAGAAGGTAACAAATTATATACTTAATGTATAGTCCTGAGAGAAACAGTTAGTTTTGTTTTCAAGAGAGTACTGATGCTTCCCGAAGCGAAGTCCAGATGTTTCCCTTGACTTCGTCTCAGGAAACATCAAGACACAAGGGAGAACAAAATTAACTAGTTTCCAGAGGGACCATACATTAAGTGCTTTGTTATATATTTAAGACTTTCCCTTTAACAATCATATGGAAAAAACATGCTGTTGTGTCAGATGCACAAGCAACAGCTGTGCAATTGTATCCCTTTAAATTTGATCAGGGGCATGTGACTAAGTATCAACCAATCACAGTGCTTGTTTTGTCGAGTGTAAGTCTTGGTATGCTGGTATCACAAAATCTGATATTTACCAACTCCAAAGTTTCCTTTGGGAATGTAAAATGCTGCAACTATCAGTGCTATAATAACACCAATCTTGATGAACCAGAACCTGAGGATTAAAAATATCAGAACACTGAGGATTTTTCCTGAAAAGAAACACAGTCACTTCCTTGTAAACATTGGATCCATGACTTTCCTTTTTGTTCATTGAACAGAAAATAATAAACTTTTAAAACAATTAAACAAGACACGGGCAAGAAGATTCTGCTGAATAATTATAACCATCAAAGCGTAAGGAGGCTTGATATGGACAAACTTCGTTGTTAATTGAACATTACACAATGAAGTCACTAGAATTAAAATATTACATTGATGGATTGAATAACTCACCCGTTTTGAAATTTGGCCCTGGGATCATTACTACTCTTGACTTTAAACATCAAGATAGCCATTATCAGGAAGAATGCTGCCATTGCAAAACACACTCGATACACTGCTAAATATCCCACCAGACTGTTACAGTTAGACTCTGGAACATTTTCACAGAAACGTGGAATTTTTTCCAATTTTTCAACAATGCCAGGGGCAAGCATGACGGCAGACAAGACCGTTCCCAAGAAAAGAATTATTGTGTATACAATCCTGGATGCTGTGGAGTTTTTGCATGAGGGACATCGAGCACAGCAACAAAAACAAGCTGATGAACCACAACAACACGCAGCCTACAGGGATTCAAGACAGTTTTCAGTACAAAAAAAACGGAAATTCAGCCTTATGGAGCTTTTTTTTATAAGTTATCAAAAAGAAAAATCGTACAGAGTTGTGACATTTCAGACATAATACTTCCACTTAACAGTGAAATATATGGATGTATCTGTACGATAAGCTGTAGCGACAACTTTTCGACAAGAGCTAAGTAGACAAAAGTCAATTATTGCCAGGGCGATCATATTTAAAAAATACAAATTTATAGTCTCTAAATTGAATAGCAGGAGGAGGAGAAAGCGAACAAAGTGTAGTTAACTACTGAGGATGTAAAAGTAGGGATTTCAATCCAAAAAATCTTCGTTTCTAACATGCTACTTAGCCTGAACCGTCTGGGCATGGCGGACTTAAGAATTACTTACCACTGGGGCTAACGAACTGGCACAAGAGGCACAAGATGACAAAGCCGCACAGCCTCCTAAAGCACCTAACACAGTTCCCATTTTGTGCTTTTACACGTATAAATTTTCCTTGAGGAAAACAGAAAACTCGTTTAATGCGATCGTAACGTGAGTATCTGGATATGACGTCATAGAGGTGCGAATGAATCAAGCAGTGGATTGTGGGTTGAAAAGAGTTTCTTTTGCGCAAAGTTTTCGTTATTTTTCCATCGCTTTTCCGTGATCTATCTTATTTAATATATATAACGCTTGGTAGAATATTTTAAAAATACGATCAAGTTACTTGTGTCAAAAGAAAATGCCACATATTTCCAGAAGATTTGGAAAGGTCTGGAAAACAGCTTGTTATGAGCCCGCAGTTTAATCTGCTGTACAACATACACAGACAGGTGTTTCTGAAAGCGTTGATAAACACAACACAATCATGAACGAAGACATAGAGGACGACGGAGGCGAAATTCAAACATTTCTTCATCAACATCACGCTGGCTGCGTCTTATCCAGGCTTCACGATCTGCGGGAAAGAGAGGAACTTTGTGATGTTACGCTTGTGGTCGATGGAAGTGCCATCCAGGCTCACAGAGCTGTGTTAGCGGCGTCTAGTCAATACTTCAACGCCATGTTTACTGCAAAGATGAGTGAGAGAAATCAAGCGACGGTAAGGCAAATCTTTGGTTTTAACGGACAATTGTTGCTGTGGGATAGTTTTTGTATACACTTGGTCAAGGCATCTCCATCAACTTTCATCTCAGACGGTGTCTGGTAAAATTTTACTAAGGGCAGGACTTGAACATATTATCTCGTTAAGTGCCTTAAGTCTTTTTTTATTAGTGATATCAGGCAAAAATTAATAAATATCTGGCGGAGATACTTCTGTATCCTAGCAAACACTAAGATTATAAAGAATTTTCAAATACGTTTAGCTTTAAGTTTCAAGTATATATGGATTGTGTTGTATTAATGACAAAGTTAAACGATCATAGACTATGAACATAGAGAATGTTGTCGCGGAAGATTATTCTCAAAACAGAATTCCCTCTACTTCAAATGTGATTTTTTTTATTATTATTTCCATTGAAGGTGGAGATCAAAGGAATCGATTTTGTGTCAGCAGAAACTCTTATAAACTTTGCCTACACATCACAACTCACAATCACTGATTCCAGAGTTCAAAATCTATTTCTGGCTGCAGATCTGCTTCAGTTCAAATGGGTGAAAGACTCCTGCATTCACTTTATCATGCAACAAATTGACATCACAAACTGTCTGGGTGTGCGAGCACTTGCTGAGAGACATTCCTGCAAGGCCATGTATGAGGCTGCCACGCGCTTTGTTACTGAGAACTTTCTGAAAGTATCTCAAACTGAAGATTTTCATAATCTCAGCATCAATGAGGTACTTGAGTTAGTTAGGAGAGATGATGTGAATGTGTCAGATGAAATAGAAATATTTAAAGCATGCATGGGATGGATTGAATATAACACTCTGAAGAGGAAGCAACACCTTGCTGAATTTTTAAAAGCAATTAGATTGCCTTTTATTCCTGTAAAAAATCTTCAGAAACATGTGAGTGGACATGATTTGGTGAAACATGATGTTTACAGCCTGGACATTGTTAAGGAAGCATTGACATTTCATTTTGAGCATGCTGGGATGAAAATGAGAGACTCGTATGCTGAAACTGTGTATATACTTGGAGGAGAAACATCATTCATGAAGGAGGTAAAGACTGTTGAGAGATTTAATCCAGAGAGTACGCAGTGGGAAGGAGTAAAGTCTATGACTGAAGCACGAGCATCTTTCACTGTGGCTACCCTAGAGGGTAAGCTGTATGTTATTGGAGGTTATCGTCGTGGAAGGAAGTTGAACTCCATGGAGTGTTAAGATCCAACACAAAATGGTTGGGTCAGTTTACAGCCAATGAGTAAGTGTCAAGGTGATGTGCGTGCTGCTGTACTTGACGGCTTTATTTATGTGGCTGGAGGATCCAGTGAAGGTCTTCTGACATGCAGGTAACAGGATTTATGTCTAAGGACAGCTTTGTGGGAGGTCATGTTTCAAGCTGTAATGTTTTCATCACTGAGTTTTACATATGTTCCTTTTTTTATATATTTTATTATTATCCTCTGCCATTTAATTTCCCTCTAAAAATTGAAAGAGTCAATTTACCTTATTGCTAACTAATATCACAGGAACCTTCAAAACTGCTTACCAGCAGATGTTGCTCTTGATATCACATGTTTCAAAGATGCACAAAGTGTGCTATTCTGTTGTGCCTTCTATTATTAGTCTTCTATTTCTAATAATCATTTTATGAACCCGCTACATCCAGTAAGAGTTTGTAAAACAAAGATCTTTGAGTACACTGAGCATGGTTCAATGATTGTGTTTACATAAAAAGTACCAAGCCTGCTTTGTACTTTGCTGCTTTATGATTTTTCCTTTGGAAAACTCAGTCCAGATCTTCTGGTTTATTTTGAAAGTGTGTTAATACAAATGCATACCAAGATCTCACCATCAAACTAGACTTGAATATTTATTAATCTTCTGAGGCTTAATATCAGCCAGGATACTTTGAAATTTTATGTCCTCATAAAAGGTTAATAATTTCCTTAGTAATAACAGGTAGATGAGCTCTCCTTGCCTTCATTTATAAAAGTATTACAGAATTTAAACAATTTTAATTTAATTTATAGAAATATATTAAGTGGTCAGTTTTGGCTAACCTTATCACTTTCTTTTACGTAAAATTTTTTTCAACATAGTGAATGTTTTTGTGTTTTTAACAGCTATGTTGAACGATATTCACCCTTTGCCGAAGGATGGCAAGTTGTTACTAGTATGCATCGTCAGAGACGTCGCTTTGCTCTTGCCGTGCTTGATAATCATATCTAGGCTGTCGGAGGATTTGATGACAGCAGAGGGGATCTTAAACATGTGGAATATTATGATGAAAGCACAAATACGTGGACAGAAGTGAAGCCCATGCATTGTTGTCGTTATGACTTTGGTGCGGTGACATTGTCTGGTTACCTCTACGCTGTAGGTGGTGCCAATGGCAGGAGAGGTTCATTAAATACTGTTGAACGCTTTGATCCAACCATGAATGAATGGTCAATGGTTGCTCCTTTGAAGCATTGCAGGGGAGGTGTGTCAGTAGCTGTGCACTGTGGAAAAATCTTTGCAATGAATGGAATGAATGAATACATGTCAATTGTCGATTCCACAGAGTGTTACAATGAAGTACAAGATAAGTGGAGCAGCTTAGCTGCTTGTACACACACAGCAAGATTCAGTGCAGCAGCCATTGTCTACCCTCCTGTAATTCCCCTGCATGTTAAAAGCCTGACCCACCCAGGGTCAGTATGTCATGAACAACAACAATAAGAACACTCATAAGGATGAGGTCAATCTGTAATGCATAAAGGCATGTCATGAAAAACAATCCAATCTCAGTCTGAATGGCCAGTGGAGACTTCTACAATTAAAAGTAAATGCATTTTTTGTGATAGTCATTGTTAAATGCCCAAGTAAGTCAACTTAGTGGCCATATTGAAAACTAAGTGAGATCTAAAATGAGAGTCACTATTTTTATCTTAGTGGTCTGTGTATTTTAGTTCATTTGAGGTTCCTGATGCAGTAGAAAGTTTGATTAACTCAGTGTGTGTCAGACAAAAGTGATAAAAATATTGTCGATGAAAATGATTTCAGGCTGTATCTTACTGAACACAAAAAATGAAAAAAATGTTTTTTTCCTTCAGTATCCATGCAGTTTCCTATTAGCTACTTAACAATGTTTAAGAAGGCTTAAATTTGAAGTTAATTATAAAAAGTAGACTCCATTGGGTCCAGTGATTAGATTACTTACAATTCATTCCTATAAAGTTAAGGCACCATCAACGGGAGAAAAGTACCAGGGCCCAGTTGTTCCAAGGCCAATTAGCAAATTCACGGCAAAATTTTAATCCAGGTTTCTATATTTCTCTTTTCAAAAGCCATTTTGGGATAATTTTTTCCAATTCTTTTAGAGCATTCAATCATCAAATAGTAGACAAATGGAATTAAATTTAATTTTCTTTTAAAGCTTTTAGATCTGAAATCAAATTTCACACTAATCCTGGGTTATCTTAATCCACCTTCGAACAACCTGGCCCAGGAGTCTTGGATCAAAATGATGTCTTAATCGCTTTGATTTTATCGCGACCCGCCATATTGACATTACGTCATATAATTTTTGCACTAAAACGAGGCATTACGTGGTAAACAATATGCGAGAAAATGGCGAAAGACTGAAGGAGACTGAACTTTAATTTCAGATGCATCAATTATTTCTCTGCATTTTGGATAAATGTCCTTAAAGAAAGGTGGCATGTACTTGCCTATTGCTGCTCGAGATAGTCAAATAGACATAGAACCCAAAACAAAATATAAATAGTTTGTCCAGGAAATAAAAATACGGCTGACACTTCAGACAGATATACCAAACTCTTCCGCTAGTTTCTTATTGTTTAAGAATTGACGCAGTTTAAATAGAATTAAATAGAATTAAACAAAATTGCTCAAATAAAGTAAGCTTAAAGTTTTTCATTGCGTTTCTAAAACTAGCAGTGCCCATTCTTTTCTTGTTCTTTCTTGGTCTTTGTATTTGCGACCAAGTGTACAATTTCTCGGCTGAAGGCTGAAGTGTTTTGAACACCGCCAGTAGTAATGTGAAGGAAGCGAAGCCTGTAAAGTGTATGATATCTGCATCAGGCTTCGCTCGTAACCTCATATACAATCTCTTTTTCGAGCATTTTCTGCAGCAAACGGATTCTTTCTTGTGCAGATTCAAGCATTTCTTTTTTGGAACGCTGTGGTTGTCCGGACGGAGTAAATGTACGCGTGGTTGTTGACAGTTGTCGCGTAAACACTTGCTGTAGTAGCTGTTTCAAGATGTTGGTCTTGTGTCGCACTATCAGATGTTTTCAATTGATAAGTGCATTAATCTGTTAAACAAGACAAAAGCGTCGCAAAAAATAAAACTGCGATCGAGTCGATAAAACTCTTCTGCCTTAATTACTTAAAGCGAAATTTGGACTAATATCGCGCTTGATCTCGACTATCCATTGTTTCTTCGTCCTTAGGAAA